CCGTTTCATATTATTGTAAATTTGGTACTGATGAGTCAATACAAAATTCTTGTGTCTACCAGTTTCCGTGTCCTAACGGGTTTGTTCAAAATTCTGAAGGGAACGAACTGTTTTAAACGTTGCTACTTTTAAAAATGGTTATTCCATATTGCCTTCTCCTACGACCTTCACATTCCTGGGAGTGTGGTACGGACTGTCTGTACGTGGCTTTAATAATTAGTTCTCAGGGGACTTCATCAATGTTGGGCTAATTAATTGTAGTCCTTTTTTGAGGGGAAGCTCTCAGTCATACCACGTCGCTCGAACTTTAGTATCGACCTCGCTTGACGTAATGAGGGTCGGCTTCTACGGTTGCATGTAAGGATATCGCAATTTGTTTACCGAGGTCTTTGAAGTGTTTGACTTACCAGCAATGCTTTCTCAGTTTGTTTCGACTCGATAGTCTTACACATAATATAGCTTTTTTGTAAAATTTGACAGCCGAAGGCAACATGAGCAGTAATTTGTCCTTCAAATGAACAAATTCACTGCGGTGTATCCTGGGTGTAAATACACAGAATGTTTCAATGAAACTTTACGTAAACTTGAATTACGTCTTATCTGACCAATAAGCCATTTTTGGGAATAAATATTTCTAGTTCTCCTGAAAACGTTTTTTGTCCTGAGGTCATCCCTTTCTAATGATTATAGCAAGTCAGTGTAACCGCACTTTGTGTTGCTACTCCTTTGAAATTTTCGAATACGATGACTTCCATCTTACTGTAATCTGTGGCCTCGATAGTGTCAAACCGCGACTTTTCGAAGAAGGAACCTTTACCGGCTGAGGAAAACATTTGATTCCTTATTCCTGTATTCTGATCAATATCTGTATGACCTCTTGCTGTAGAACCTAACTGTTGATGGGCGGTGCGGATTATCACTTCTCATCAGCCGCATGTATTCTGAGTCGCTCCAGGGAAGATATCACTGCCAGCATTTTCCTCTCAATTTGTGCATTATCCCGCTAAGTGGAACAGGTGCTCCAACTTCGGTCAACTGCCGGTATTTAGTAATAATACTTTCCACAGGCCAATTTCATTGCTATCATAATGAATAACCAGAAAAACTCTGAAATGTGATAGTTCTCAACCGGTGACCACAGTAACAGTTTGTCTAGTTTTATCGAATGTTATCACTTATTCTTCATGCATCTTAGAAGCGCCTCCAGGCTTCGATTGGGTTTCAGTAATACCTTCCCAAAAGTTAAACATTATTTACCAAACACCTGCTTCCTACCTGTCTACCAAGCGCCTGAATAAACACCCAAATACTTCGCCAGGCAATTTCAGTCCGAATAGCAAACGTAGCCGAAGAAAGCGTCTATAAGAGGTTCCAAATGCAAAGATGTCACTGGATAAACCGTCTAAGCTTAACTGCTGAAAAGCCGTAGATAAGTGTACCTTCATAAACTAATGGATTTACCTCGGTTCCGACTGAATGTCATCGATGATTGATAGACGATGACACTCACGTCCAGCCACCCTATCAATTGGCTTGAGACCGATACACAGACAAATACTACTTGACATCGCTAAAGTTACGACAGTCTGACAGACCCAGCCGATCATTCTTTTTTATGGTGCCTGGTATGTAACCGAGAATCGAATCTGCAACACTGGGATAGTTTTCAGAAGTAATCGGATTAGCTAACTCTTGCAGAAATTCATCGCGCTCAAGGTGATGACGTTCGTCAATTGAATGTTGTCAGCCTTCAAAATGAGCCCTGAATCACGGTATTCAACAAAACATTTTAGATCGGAAATTCTTTTTATTTCTTCAATTAATATTGACAGGGTTGTCACTTCTGCAACATTCCTTATCACAAGTTCCCACTATTTCAGCTGTACAGCCGTGTCGACACCTTGGGTTAAATCTGTTGTTATCATATTAACTGGTACTATCTTTGAAGTTTTCGCGTCATTGATCAAGAAAAGTGAATCGGTGTCATCTATCCTACCGAAATTTTACGATCCATCCCAGACAAAGCAATACTTATTGAAATTCCCGACCGATCATCGGTAACCAAAGCGCTAAATGGAAGGCTTAGTAACGTCCTTTCATCAAGACCGAGTGAATGTTCCTAATTCATAGAGAAGCTTTCTTGCCGATGACATCTTACCTTTAATCATAACCTGGCTGTTAGTTTGCAACCTAATATTGATTACCTGAGCGCAGTCTTACTTGTCTTTACCAGTTATTTCCCCTACTTCTATATCGTTTTTCTTCTCAATTGTTTTCTAATTTTTGATTCATGGTTATGTGGTAGTTAAACACCAACAAACATCATTACAAAAAATTCTTTTTTTTAAATCACGGTTTGATGATTCACTTCTAAATAGTACTATTGATTTAAACCAACAGAAGGATTGCTGTTCATCCTGTATAGAGGGGGAGCAGGCAATGTGTGGTCTAAAGAATATCACTGCCCGCTTTATTATGGTAAATATTTGATGCACTAAGATGCGTGAGTCAAATGGAACAGCATTTAACGAGGCTAACGAAAAAATAGGGTATACCAGTCTACAGTACACATCTGAGTAAGAATAGGCATCAATGGTCTAAGCGGTGCTACTTGGTTCTCTTGTACCAGCCAAGGATGACAAATGTGAGCTAATGTGGGCGACATTCTGGGTTCAACTCACCTTACGCATAAATTCTAGTTAAATTACTAAGTTCAGTAAGGTAGATAATTAACTGGTGTACTATCCATGAACGATAATTGTTGCTACTGCGTGCAGCACACATATGACACAGAAAAATACATTAATGTTTTTGATATCCAACTAAGACAATAATAAGGTTTTGGGGGACAGAATTGTTAATAGTAGTTGAGATACAATCAGCTGTTCTAAATGTTCTGCGGTCGTTCAGCGCAATACTTTTGTGACTAGCCTATTATGCTAGTTTTCTGTTTTTGATTTTCAAGCCTTTCAGCACACAGAGACGTGCATAGGGTGACCACTGAGACCAAGTTTTCGTTCTCTTATTTTGTACATGAAAAGAAGCAATAAACAGACACACAAATAGGAAAGCTATAGGGTGTAATAAAATAACCGTTACCAGTATGAAGCAAAACCGCATCTCTGTAATCCATGTGTGGAGTTGTGCTACGGATATGGTTTGTAAATTAGCCCAATAACCTTTAAAAATAATTTTCTTTAAGGGAGAGACAAACCTGCAGCCGGCTGCATTGTCTAGACATCGCTTGGCTTATTCCTTAAATCTAAACAAACTGTGTTGTAAGCTTCATAACAATATCTTTAGGCTATCAAGGCGATCATCCTCGTCTTTATTATGGCACTGCACCCGTGGCTCCATGTAGATCTAGGCATCCCTAGGTTTATTTTTTTCTCAACATTAAAATGTCTACACCTTGTGAATATGAACCCCTGCAGGAGAGCTCTCTTGGGGTCTGAAATGACCCTGCTCATTACTCAGACTGTCTCTGTGGATAACTCTGTGGAAGTACAACTCATAAGAGGAAGGCTATCCAAAAAAATAATTACCTCAAGAAATGACACATAAAGCTCAAGAAAGTGATAGTATAACGCCGCGTATCGCCGCATTGTTGGTACCCCTTTTCGTTTAGAATTTATTTGTGTTTCACTAAGCCTTTGGTTTATCGTTGTTCGTACTTATTTTTGTGAGACAGTTTCTCGTATTCCTTCTTCGGAGAAACGCTGTCTCCCGGAGTCTCTACGTTGCAAAAAGTTGGATTACGAGTGTTGTGCGTAACTGGGACCAGGACAACTCGCCTGACTCGCTTGTTACAGCACCTATCACTTTAACGAAATCATTGAGATACATTCGGTAACGATTTCGCGTCCGGTGTCAATTAGTGACGTTAGTAGGTGGGTACTAACTACTAATTACTTATACTTAAGCTAGTATTGTAGTTTAAAATATACGTCTCAAATGCATGCTGTACTACAGACTGCAGTATGTGGAGCACATATTTGAGAAATGTGCTTATACTTCTGCGCAACATATATATATACATATATCAAATAAGATATAAATTAAAGGTAACTTTCTCAATCCCAGTATACTTGGTGATGCGCTTGCTTATTTCTGTTTGTAGAATCTGCGTTGTCTCAGAGCCTGATCAGTCTGCGATCATCCATATGGATTTACTTCTGGTAATATTTGTTTAAAGTTATCTCAAAGAATCGCTTGTGTATTCCTTCTCTTTCAGGCGATAACAGATGTCGGTAAAACTGGAATGGCGTTCCTTTCAACACCACGTATCATTTAAAGAGCTTCTGAGCTTCTGATCACCTGAAATATCTTCTTACTGGTTGCCCCCTCTTTTTATAAAAAAGGATTAACAGAGGGAGTAGGCTGTCAGAGGCATGCTGTTATTAGTTACATTTCGATTAATGATTTTTAGTGGACCCCAAGTCAGTGAATTGATAGCTTGCACTAATGCATCGGTGACGGTTTTATAAAGTGACTCTAAAACGGATGTTTGAGTTTAGTTTTTGAGATTCTGACAAGACACGTTGGCCATTTGAATAATAGTGGCTACTGATTTCAAAGACTACGTTGCCAGTCAATGTTGAACCGAGTTGTCCGTGAGGAGAGATTATTTTCATGTAATTTGGCGACTTCTCATTTATGCTTTGCAAGCACCTCTCGGTTCCAGTTGTTTACACCAACTTTGTGGTTGATCCGTACAATGGTAAAAGTTGAAACATGACTAATGTTTAGTTTTCTGAAAGATTCGTTTTCATCTGCAATTACCGTCGAAGTTTCATTCAATCCTAAGGCGACATACGTTGTATAATCCCTCTCATTCACAGTTACAACGCTAGAACACATGAAGATTTAAATGAATTCTCCGTGAGATTATTCTGTCCTATCCTACTGTCAAGCCAAATCTGGTGTCATATGATGTTGTATTACTATTGAATAGTTTGGCAGATTGATGGTTTTAGATGAGATCCAACTGTGAAAAGTCAAGTCTTCGGCTGGATTCGAACCAGCGTTAGAAACGTCATATATCTACGCGGTAAGCGCTCTATCGGCTGAGCTACGAAGCCACGCCAAGAGCTCGGAAATGTCATATTTTGACTCGAAGTTTGGACTTCGAAATTTAGTCATAGTGTTCCCGAATTCAGCGCTTGTAAAGCGTTGATCTTCATAGTTTATTCCACTAATTTCAATTGACCCTCAGTGATTCAGCACGAGTTATATGACTATACATGAATAATGACTTGGTTTCAAGCACAATTCACGTCGTCTATTTCGTTGTATATTTTACTGTGACTGGGATGATACGCAGCTAGGTATGTTTGAATGAAGAGTTCCTAGAAACTGTTTACACTGCAGGTGTTACAAGCAATTCTATTTCGGGTTCGACGTTTAATCATTCTTTTTAACAGGGTACGTTAATCAGAATACTGTCAGCTAGAAACTTCAAGTATATTCTGTTTACGGCAATACACCTAGGATCAAAATTATTCTAAGCTATTGAGCTACTGACAGTCACACCAGTAGTAAATGTGAACCTCAAGCAAAGAATGTACACAACTAGGGCATTAGCAAAACGGTATTTTATCATTAATGAAGTAAAGAAGTGATAAAAATGCAAACTTTTCTGGCAAATATTCAAGCATTGTCGTGCTTTAAATGAGAAAGTAAATTACGTTCATTGTATCTTTGCATGCACCACTTCATAGTCGGATGTATCAATCAGAGGAAAATGATGGTTTAAGCTGTCAATTACAGTTGCTTTCAGCTTTTGCATTCCAACAGACAATCCAGCAAACCTATTTCGAAAAGCAATTCTGCAGCCCATTGTTAGCAGATAGGATTCGAATTTCAAGCGCGTTCAAACAAGACAGCCATGCTAGCCACTGTATCGTTGCCTACTATCAGCCAGGAACCTGTGATCATAATTCCCAACTCAAACACTTTCGCCTGTGAATACTGATCAGGCTACCAAACTGTCTTGACAGCAGTCACAGTTACCGCTTGCCAACTAGATTCGCTGATCTCACGATTACGACTACTATGTCAGACAGAATGGAATTGCTGCGAGTAACTGTGGATGATTAATAATGTTAACTAATAATCTCATCAACCACTGATGATTACGGCTGTAGGCAAGAAAGTTTTATACTTTTCATGCATTGTGGAATTTCACCGGAAGCTTTGATTTTCGTGGACTATGAGTAAAAGAAACCTTTGCTCTGATATTTTGTTGACAATAGTTACTTGTGTCTTACAAGTGGTTGTGTGCTCATCTGAACATATTTCGTCGGAGTTCAAAATTGAAGCCGATTGAGTTTGCTTGGAAGCGGATTGTGTTCTGTGGGTATCAAAATAATTCTCCAGAATTGTGTGGCACACATTCCGTTTTTATTTACTCAAACTCGTATTCACAGCCACTCAGTGATGACTGGCTGGTCGCTTAGGCTATCACAACGTTTGAACTGGGTGAGAGGTTGAATTTGCTAGATGGTCGTCAACTGCATTATTTGTGACTTCATATTTTGAAACATGGTTCGGTTGCTGATTTTGAATAATATTTACGAAAAAATGTTTACCTTTGCCCCAGTTTACAGTGGGAAATTCGAAGATGCAGCACTAATAAAATGCGGTAACTGTTCACTTTTCATTATTCAACAAAAAGGTTGAAGGGATCGACTTCAATCTTGTTACGTTTCACTCGACAAAATGTTAACCTCCTTCATACCTTGTTCAATCATACTTTTACAAAAAATAAAACATTTGTTGACTCAATTCAAACTGTATTGCCTGGTTACGTTAGAGGGAAAAAGCAGAAAGTATCTCCAGTGAGTTTATTTTTTACTCATTTGCACACACAAAATAACTTTTGGATTTGCAAAATATACCCGTCTGATAATGTATACATTTTAATTGCCATACTTAAGTACTGCGAAATTATGACCACCCAGAATGATGGCCAAATAACTTGGCTTGATTACTCGAGTGTAAACGAGTGCTAGTCATTAAGAAAGGAAACATGGTGCACTAGGCATTACGAATGTTACATAAGTGTGTAAATGCAAAGTTGTGTACGTGTGTATTTGTTAACTGGTCGTCGACCTGATAGAACATTAACGCGTGTGTAGGCGATTACACATAGAACAACGGATCTAAACCAAAAGAAGTGAACCATGCGCTAACAATGGCCTTCACACTAAGCTGAATAGAATCATAAGACGATAGTAAACCCGGTTATGATCACTTGATTTGAATTTTCAAGTCCGGCTAAAGATAAGCAGAACAAGTCAGATTGAATTCAACTTAAAAATAAGCAAACGTTGAGTCAATTTACTTGTGAAAAGCAATTTTCGTTTAATATGAACAGCTTCCGACTACCACAAACAAACGTGAAACAATCTTTCCACGCAAGTATAGCCGTTCATTGCTCAGTATTATGGAAGTTTAAAACTTGATAATTTACAAAGTTGCACATTTTCAATGTTTACGTTGTGTGGTTTTATTTGATGTCTCTAACGTAGTACGTTATTAGAAGACATAACTATGGCTATTTTCCACAACGTCTCTTCTTTCATACGTTTGAAAAGCCGACGGGAATTTACATGATTGTGGTCCTCGAAGCGATGCAACCCCAATTATAGAAGCTTACTTTGTTTGTGATCTTGAATTCTTATATAAACTGCCCGTTTAATAACGTCGGATCTCACATTCATCAGTACATGAATATCGATTCGGGTGAGTTTAACCACACCAAACCACATGGAAATATATCAATGAGCATATGCTTTGTAGACGGACCTTCTGAACAAATCACTGAACCGTTATGCTAATCCTTATTGACGTGGCAAGACCAAAAATGCATCACACTCAGAAAAAACTTATAATGGTGAGGCGGACGGATGCTAACATGCACTGCGCGGTTGAAAAGCATGAAGGACATGCGGATTTGTTTGTGACACCTGATTTTATAGATATAAGTGGATAAGAATGCCGTTTCAACCTATAGTATTATGAGCCTATTTACATTTTTGTTTCAAGATAATTGATAGCTTTGGACAGAGTAGTTAAAAGGAATTTATATTTCATTGTAGATGGTTTGGTCAAACGGAGGTTTTCAGGTTTCTGTAGGTGGCGGGACAAGTAAAGAGTAAGAACCTGACTGATAGATATGCAGGCAATTCATGGGAAAATGACAAAACTGGTGGAGGTTAGACAGACCGGTTTAAAATCATGCCATCTGATAACCATCTGAAGCTGTTCTTCGAAGCAAAAATTCATCAACAGACTACAATTAATTATATGTGAGAGTGCATAAAGTGAACTGGACGGGGTAAGAAGTGGTTGTTTGGCTGGTCCTGGGAGCAGATGGAACGCAAACTTTAATTTCTACTTCTCCGACTGGAAGAACTTTCGCATTGTCTTCTACAGACGGTGTGCCTTCAACGTAATCTTCACATGGGAAACCGTTTTTCGGGTGCAGCCATGGTGACAAAAGGGTTGCTCGGGCCCTCTGAATGTTGACTGGCGGGTAGCGTAAAGGACGGAAAGTGCAGATGAAGAAACAAGCAAAACTCCACTGAACCCCATTAACATAATCGTTGGGAAAACCCCTGACCTCCTGATGTTATAATTTCGAGGCTTTTTTAACCAAACAAATATAGGTTTCATTAACTCATCGGCAAAGTCAAGGTAAATGTACGGGTGATTACACAGTCCATGATGACAACTACCGGCGCAGTTTGCACTTCAAAAGTTTACTGTCGTTTAGTCTTATGCAGCAACAGAAGTGGTGAATCTATAAAGGCGAACCCAGAAGGAGACAATACACTGTTCCTTTCAGTGTGAGGGGCCCACGTTACGTAAGTGGGAGGCTGCAGCTTATTTTGAACAGGGCGTAGTCCAAAGCTTGGCCGCATCGTTTGTTGGATGAATACCAAGACGGTGACAAACCCAACAGACTGAAAATGCGTAAGTCAACAAACACGGCTGATAGAATTACTGTATAACATGCGTCCTGGTTTGTGAGTGGTATAGTGCATACATTCGGGAACTAAAGGATTGGTCTGAACGCCTTGAAGACGAGTGGACAGAAGCGACTCCTAAACTTATGTGTATGCGTTATGGGGGAAGTGTCGCCAGAGCGAGCAACGTTGCACTACTGCCTCGTGGGTTTGGATATACGTCAGCTATGCAAGTGTAAAATTTAGTCGTTCTATGTATTCAAATGACTTGTAAAGAGTGTCTTGCAACACACAACTTCATAGGTCAAGCATCTTTTTCAGTCACAACAAAATTACTACCTACTCTTGCGTATAACGGATTGAAGAGAAGATAGCATATGTTGATTTCTCTGGTTATGCCTAAAGCACTAAACCCGATGTTGAAAGCGTAAATGATTGGATGTAACTGGGGTTCATCCCATATTACGGAAGAATGAGGGATGGTGAATCGGATGGAGCGGCACAATTAAAAAACACCGCATACTGAATAAGGAGTAAAATGTAACAACAAAGTTATGATATGACCAGCAAACCGCTGTTCGACGAATATAATTAAATGATGTTCACCAATTATTAGTGATCACTAACATAGCACATAGCAAACGGATAAGTAGTTATGGGAGATCATAAGAATAAATGGTTGACAGAAGCGATACTTCCAGTCTAAAGAAGTGAAATAGCATGACAGAGGAACACGACGAATGGGATGAAAATACGTGAAGCGGTCACATTTCTCCTAACCGAACCAGTTAGTTCCATGTTGACAAACCGTGATTTAGTCGACCCATTGAATCACCAGTCACGACGTGGCTCACTACACCCAAGAAACAAAAAAGTGCTCACCGTAGAACTGCTGAAGTCAATACTTGACAAAACTCTACTAAGCATCTGTAGTGTGCAAATCTGATACTGTACAATTGGATTACAGTCTCACACCAAACATAAACATACATAGCACCAGCTCGCATCAAAATAGTGTCGCGCAATTGATAACGCCAGAACCATGATAAGTTGTTTTCTTGTTTGGAGACCATGAATTTCAATCAGTTGAGCCTTATCTAGTTGTAAGT